TATACTTTGACGTAATTCACTCCTACGCTTGTCCACTAATAAATTAACAAAAATTTGTAAACCGGACTTTAAAGGATTGGACAGCGCAATGTACGTTTGAGGTCGGCCACAAGATCCTTTGTTTACTTTTGATAAATATAGTATCATTTCTTATGTTTGGTCATATTTGTATGAGATCGTTTCTCGTTTGTAATGTGTTATAATGACGAATTGTGGGACAGCGAAACCCGATGTAGAGCTATATGATAACCTATTATAATGGAATTAAGTTAAGAAATTTGGTTTGTTTTTGAGTAAAACCAAATGAAGTTTATAAGACGTGGATTAATCTATCTACTGATATTAATGAAAAAAATCAAAATTAATTTTACAAAATTAAAAAAAAACACTTTTATATTGTAATTATATTAAGCACTTGGAGGTAGGATTATGTCACAATTTTGGTTTGAATTAAGCTCCTTTTTCTTGTTTTTCTAAACCTTATTTTTGTGATATTTTATCTCCTAGGAACTTACCTGACTGTTCTCATCAATGCCCGGTGGACATTAATTTACGATTGGAGGGAGCAATTCGATCATCAAAAGCATGAATCAAATCTTAAGAAACCATTAAGACAGTAATCAAATTAATTTTTCCGTGCCAAAGCCTCATTATTTACACTGAATACCTTTTTTTATTAAGACCAATCATAGCAATGAGCGTGATGTTTCAAATAATAGCCTTGACACTTAATACTATACAAGATTCTACAAGATGTTCATCTTAGTTCAACTTCATTAAATGAATTAAGTCTCACGATAAAAGCCAAGTTATGGAAGTTTTTCAGATGACGCCAAGTCCCTTTTTGAATGTAAGCTGAACAGATTTGAATAAACTACGTTCTATTTGTGCCATTGGTTTAAAGATCAGAAATCTATTTCTTGTTTTATAATTTAACAAGATAGCATGAATGACGTCAAATCATTTTCTATCTGCGACAGGATGTCATGACAGCAATGGTAATTATCACGAAGTCTCCATTGTCCCAATCATAAACAAACAATGGGGCGTAATATTAGAGATATCTTGATAGTCGGAAACATTTCCAAACAAGACTGTCTATTTCCATTCATATTTTACGAAATATAAATGTAGAGAATGTTAACTGGCTCGGAAGCTGACAGGTCTGTGTCAAACAGGTCTAGTGTTCTGTTTCGATTCAATTCTTAATAGTGAAACTTAAGTCAAGAGTTGAATGATATTGCTGTGATTACTGTAAATCGCAGATAAAATTGGTTATCTTGACCTGTTGTTCGATATGCCTTTTGGCAATCAAAGTGTGATGTTTTTCTTAGCAATTTTCTTAAATACGCAGATGATTTTAATCATCCTATATTTTTTTGAGGTTTAATTTCCCATCATTCTATAGGAATCTGTAAGTAATAAAACCTGGTAATGGAATTAATTGCTTTAACTTTAACAAGATGTAACTTTTACTGTTCACCATCTAAAAGTGCAATTTCAAGGGATATGATCTTTAGGTTCATGAATACCATTTTGACTTTCAGAGTGCAACAGACATTTTTAAACTGTTACCAATGTATTGAAAAATTATAATGTTATTCATTTCTCAGTAAGAAGCGAGTGCTTTAGTATTTCAAGTCATACAATTTATATAAACGTGTAAGAATTACTAATTGATACTACTTGATTTTTGTCGTATAAGAACAACCAGATGAACAAAAGTTGGACGTAAATAATAAGAAAACAGCATCACTTTAATATATTGTAGTTGTTATCAACATAAAAACATTCTTTTATGAGTATGAAACATCATTTCGACTCCATTTACGAGACAAATTAAGATAATTCCAGAAAGGCATGTAGAATCAGCTGTAAAAAAACTAATGAGGAAGAAAATCGAAATGCCATTGAGCGGTCAACAATCTGATAAATTACTCTTTCTTATTTCGTTAGATTAACAGGCACGTGCAGAATTGCAGAATTCTCAAATGGTTTTCATAAATCATTTTATTAATTTGAAACATCGTTAAGAAAAAACACGATTATTTTATATTTTTTGTGGACTATCAATCTCGTAAACAAGTTGTTTCTTCTAAAGAAGATTTCCACGCGGATTGAGAAACAAAACGGAAAGCAATCAACTGATTAAAGCGTTAACAACCCTGTCTGCACTTGCATTTGTTTTTTTACGCTTCGTTGATAGTAGTGCAGTATATGATCCGTATCGGCACCAACCAACAAACCGGAAGTGGTGAGAAAATGAGCATTACGAATAGTATGGATTATTAAAACGAAACAAACAATTGTGTGGAGCATTTGTTTGTCCGATTGGTTCGGCACGTCAGTTGGTAATTTACACACAGGGACAACATGGTTTGAAATATATTGTTAGAAATAAACTCTGTATGTGCTTACTCTGTGAACATTAAAATAAGACATATGAAGGCAATAAAGTTTAAGAAGCGAAATTTAGCAAAATTCGATAATGCAACAGGATTTGAATATAGCTGTTGGGAGTCGACTTCTCGTGGTTGTACACTTTAAACGAACAGATTTTACACCAAGGAGCCCATGGACCATTTTTGTATAGAAGTGCTGGCTGTATATCATTCAACAACATCGTTTTATACTAGAAAGTCGTTGGAAAAAGTGTGCGTATTGTTTTGAACGGTATAGTCCGTTTCAACACCTCTCACCCCGGATTGTGAACATTTGTGATCTCATAGCGACTAGAAAATGGGTCCACTGTAAACGTGCAGAAAATATTAGATAAGTTTTCTGTCTCACGGGGCTGTGACCAATTGCAGTCTTACGGCGACTTGAAACCTTAAACATTACAAACTTAAAAGACGGTCGAGTTATGCCTCCATATTGTGTTTTAAAGTGTTTGAGTCTTTGACACGCGTGTCTTATTCTATTCCGCTCAAGGAGATGTTACAACACTTGTCTGACCAAATGAAGTTCTGAACGTTTCTCGAAAGCTTGGCGTTTGTTTTGAACATGTCCAAAATAAAGTCTCTAAATAATATACAAGGGAACAATACTAAGAATGTCATTAGGACTCCAATGGATACGCAGTGTCTTTGCTGCGCGTGTACTGTTTTCTTGTTCTTGGTATTTTCAACGCGTTCTTTATCAAATCGCAGAACCCTGGCTTATGTCCAAAACACTAAACAGTGAATTAAGTCTGGAAAACTAAGATCAAATTCCAGTTGATATTCCTTCAGAAGTCATGTCAATTCGCTTCGAACAATTATTGAAGGTCTCAAAGTATACATTATTTCTGATGTTATAAATAAACAGAGAATAGATCAAAGAAGTCTCTCTGAGCTATTTAAAAGCGAATATTAATCTCTAATAAAGATAGAGTGTTTTTATCGAAGTAAATCTCTCTGAGGAGCTTACCAGACATTTTACTGTTGATTTGACATATGTAAAGTTCTATCAAGGGAACTATTAAGACCATACATCAAGAGGCACCAAGATGATTGGAGAATATCGTTAAAGGGGAATTATGCAAAATTACCATTATCAAAAAACGTCGTAAATTATACCTAACATTTAAACAAAATACATATTATCTATAATAACATGAGTATATCTACTTGATAAAATGAAATGATATATTATATTGTTATTATATCGCCTTGAATGATAGTTGATTAAGCTTCCTTTATATACTTCTGTTACTGTATTGTTTGAATTCATTATATTCCTGATAACGGAGTGCGAATCACCTTGAATCGTCGGAAGTAATAAATATTCTAGAAGTATCCATCCATAAAATTGTTTTATTTATCTATTAACTGGTGCTTCTACTATGCCAATTTATTAATAAAAACAGTTTGTTCCAAGCGAGATCATGATGACAATTGATTTCGCCTGTATTTCATCTTTTCACAAAGTCAGGCTATTAAAAACTGTGTTTAATACCTTGACTCCAATATCCGCCTTTCTTGTATTACTGAAGTTTGTTTATGCAGAAATTTCATTTGGTTGTACGCTACTAATTACAGCCAATCCTAGCCCTCGATTGTTATTGGCTGTTGTAGTCAAGGTATAAGACGAAGTAATAGCTTAATATCATGACATTCATTTCTCTTCATTGTTATATCATTCTAGACGTCGGGTTTCCTAATTGGGTTGTTCGTAGCCTACAGTGCAACCATTAGTCTGTTGTAATAATATATGGATGATTCACTTATTTTCTCGAGGTTTTTAACTCTCTTCACAGTAACTCATCCACTATAAATCTCCAAAGAGTGCCATTGAATTCTCACATTAGAGCAGTAATGAGCTATTTACCTTTTTAAATAACATTAACCTTTATAAATCTTCCAATATTTTGCTAGGAAATGTCAATCTAATGTATAATAGAGCTTGATACAGCAGACTTAAACTTGTGAAAAAAGAAACGGTGAAAGACAACCGTACAGTATCTTTAAAGGGTTTACGTGCATCAAAACCTTTAATAGCTTCTGTTTGTATCATTCCAATTTTTCTCAAGATGTCAGTGCATGGTTTTTGTATTTATAAAATTTATAAAACGTTTATATACGGCAAACTATGCCATTAACATCTAATATAGGGACATTGCGACAGCATAACATGAACGTAATTGAGTTGAATTGCAAGACCAACAGACGTCTGATTAAAAATTGTAACGGTGAAAATTGATGCTATAATCACCCCTTTCAGTAGATAAACAAGATATTGATTTGTTCAAGATATTTAAAAAACATATTATTACATTATATTGATTACAGATATTGTTGTTTCAATTTCAAATATCTCTAATAGTACATGTATCATAATATAATCTGCACATATTAATACTTCCTGATGTGCAATATTTGTACTTCCGGTTACAGTTCGGTCAGGTTGAACTTCAGAAAATATTGATAATAGATCAACCATAAGGTGATAGTTCTTTTCTAAAGCTGATAATTTGCAATATTTTTTTACTTTTAAATCAATTGTTTCCGTTCTCTTTTCAGGCACAAAAACCTTCAAACATCAGCGAATATGTACGTAGCTAATCTTGCTAGTGCCGACTTGATAATGTGCCTATTCAACTTCCCCATTTTAATATGGGCTAGTTTAAAAGGGCAGTGGCAATTAGGAAATATAGGTAAGTCTAGTTTTTAATGCTATATGTTGACTGCTTCGTGGGACTTAGAATCAAGAGTCGTTTTGCCCTAACTTTTCCGAAAATTGTTAGCTATTTGTCATCAAATCTTATGACTATATTTAGCATGTTTGTTTGGTAAAGCCATTTCTCTATATCCAATCATCATGTACCCAACTAAAGAAAAAATTGCATTTTTAAAATATTCTATTGTTTAACATGGAATATATCATTTGCAGAGATCAATCCAAATGGAATCAGTTCAGTAGCTGTAATATGATATTTGATCCAACCCTCACCAATGATAAAAACGGCAAACATTTCGACCGCCCTTCATCAATAATAACTATCGATAACAGACATAGGAATATCCATTGGCAATACCTTATTACAACTATTAGAAGTTAAACTACGCTTATAGTATCTTTGTCGACATCGTCAATGATGGGACTCTAAAGTCAGCTTATTTCTTGCTTGTCCAATCAGAGACCAATTATAACGTCTTCATAATTCATAATTAGCTGCTATGAAGAATGAATGAAAGCTCGAAAGCTTGAATCTTTCCTTTAGTTTCAATCACCCCTGTACATGATGGTTACACTGAACACTCATATAATAAAAACTCTTTACTTTACATTGGGTTGTCGCGGACAAATGATTAACACAATTCTACCGTCTCTAAAACTAATCTAAAGATAATGAATTGGATCTTCTTGATAATAGAAAATAAACAATTCATAACATCGGTCGTATGTATGCTATATACTCTAAAACATGTTAGTAGAAATATTACTGGGGGGTAAATTCCATTAAAATTGCGTAATTTAATGAACATGTATACCTTAAAAAATATGAACTGAAAATAATCGATAAGCAGGAAACTGATTTGAAAGATTTGAAAGAATGAGTTTAATTTTACCATCCGATATAGAATTTTAAGTCTCTTGGAAGTCTATTTCAGCCAGGTGGGCAAAATGCACCCCCAATCCCCCCGAAAACAATGGCCAATCTATATTGTCACTGCAACTAAACGCCAAATTGTCCCTTAGTGTATATTACTTGAATGGGTACGGAAAGATTTGTCGATTAAAATGGTCATACTTATACTGATATATCGCCACTGGGCATGTCTTGTAACTTCTGGAGCTGATAATGAGGTAGCGGAAATTACGACAGCATAATTATTATAGTCTGAAATTATAATTGTATAAAAGTAAAACCCAAAATACTCCAGACATTCTTGAATTATATACAATTGTCACCCACTCAATCTGCTTGCCTTTCAGTGCGGACTAAACACGACATCAAATTCTTGGGGAGAAGGTTCGCAGGTCCCTATAATTCAGTGGATTAATCGCCATATTAGATTGTTTTTGACCTAAATCCTACTCTTTAAAGTACCTTTACGTTAAATGTTTAAGTGAAGATAGGTTATCGACAATGTCTGTTAAAAATAGGACTGAAATTTCCCTGTGGACAAACTTTGTTATTTTAGATCTAACCAGATAATTTATCATAATTAAATTTCTGTTTGACAAAAAATTGAAACAAAAATTATATTATAGAGTTGTTCACTTTATGCCTTCGGTTTCACAACAATACTGTTAATTCCACGATTATTCAAAAGCTCTTTCACTGCCGCTATATTTCACCATCCCCCAGTCCCCACCCAATTTTCTGTTTTACAATTACTTCCCTTGCAATTTTCTTGTTTTACAATTATCACACTTATCAATTTCTGTTCCATTATTACCTCCCTTGCTATTTCCTGTTTCACCATTACCTCCCGTGCCATTTTTTATTTTATAATTACATTCTTTTTAATTTTCTGTTTTACACTAACCTCCCTTGCCAATTTCAGTTTAACACTACTCCCTTACCATTTTCTGTTTCTAAATTACCTCTTTTATCATTTTCCGTTCCATTTTTACCTCCCTTGCCATTTTCTGTTTCAGAAATACCTCCGTTACCATTTTCTGTTTTACTATTACCTCCCTTAGAATTTTCTGTTTTACAATAACCCGCTTTACTATTTCAAGACATCTTCGATTACACCTTTTTGCCAAAATACATTAGTTAGCATTTCCTTTTTAATAATCACCTCTGTTACTCTGTTAATCCGTATTTATAATTTTCTTTAGTTTGTCGATTTCATATTTTTGTATTCCATATTTTGTCAGTATGTTATGTACTATCTCTACCCGACTTGTTTTTTTTTCACATTTCAATTGAGCATTCCTCCCCCTTTAATCATTTTTTTAAAGATAGGTTTCCCTGTTTTTTAGAGTCAAATTAAGCAAACTATTAATTGGTGATTATCTCTATGAATTATCATGTATTCTTAATCATATATGATCTTATTGCGTATAATAAAGAGATTCTAAAAAAGCATAAAAGTCCATGTATGTACAGTCTAGATAAACAAAAAAAGACTTTTTGACCTTTCTTGATAGGTCACTCACTCGAATTCTGCTGGCAATTCTCTTCTTATTTAGCTAATTATGGAATTATGTGAAACTGGTATTTTTGCAAGTCTTTAAATCATCTCTTTTTTCTATTCATATAAGTATTAGCACTTTCATTTTCATAAATGAAAATAAAGGAACCCATCTTTCAGCATTGTACGAATCCCAATCAATAGTTTTCTACAAAATAGGTCATATTCAATTACCAATTATCAGAAAATGAGTTCATAACGTGGTTTCCTTAATTGGTAAATAAAGGAAACATTTCTTGTGTAACGCCACATTTATCTTTTTAACCAATAACATTGTGAACTATTTCTAGTATTTCTGTGATTAAATATAGCTTGTTATCATCTAAATATATCTATATCCGATCAAAACCGTTATCATTTTCTAAAATAGACAATTTTAATACTGGTATTAGACAGACACGTGTTTCACCACGTGTTTGACACGAAACGATGGTTAGTGAATGAATCTATGAAAAAAATCAATCAATGATTCTAGTTATCAATGAGTTGTGAATTATCTGTCAACTCAAGTTCTATCGGAAACGTATGAGCTGTTAACTGCACGTTATAGATCTCTTAGAACATGGAAACCATTATTATGGGATGGTATGTCAATATGCAAGTACGGCCAACATTGTCAAACCTTTTTAAATAACACGAGTCCACGGGCTTCCCTTCCCACAAAATCAAATACAACTCTTTAACGCGATCAAAATAGAGGTATTGTTGAAATTATTATACAAGGAAAATATTTCCGATATCTCGTTAAGGGAAAAAAATTGTCAATTGGAGACAATTGTGGGTTGGTTCAAATAAAAAAAACCTCTTGAATTGTAGCCATTGCCTCGATTTACACTCATTCTTGACACAGACTGTGTCCAGTCCATTATCTCTGCAAATTCGACTGCATATTTTCATATGTGTGAATATCTTGCTATCTTTTTTACGCCCATGAATGTCAATAAGGGGTTGGAAGATATCGAGCTGTATCTACTACACGAGTAGCACGTAGATCCGCCGTTACGTAAGGATGTCCAGTTGCGTTGAATCATTGAATTCCCTCATACAGACAGCTTTTCATTTTTTTAAATATTATTAACGTTCGTGGAATCTGCTTCAAAAATAATGGCAGTAAATACTTTAATAATTACAGATGTGAAAATATCCTTTGACTCTATAGAATTTAATCCTATCAAGATATCTTGTAAAGATTGAAATTATAGTGGACATTATCATTTCTTTTAACATTCCGTTTACGTAAATCCTTGACGCTTATAGCATCAACGTTAAACATAGAAATAGGCTAATAAGTTAGACAATGAGTGCATGGATCGATTGTTTTTCAATATTAATGTCAAGCATTGCAATCATACATCGAAAATGTGTGACTGAAGAATAAATATGGTGGATAAATATTTTCTTTACCAGATGATAAATTGAATCCTAGCTACCAAATCACTATTCAGAATATTCAAAATCGACTTCCTGTCTCTCTACAATTAAAATTATATTACCGATGCCGAAGTTCCAGGAACGTTGTAATTAATAAATATCCTTGAAGTTTCTATCCATAAGATTGTTTAATGTGGCTTATAGGGTTATAGTGGTAATATATTTGTGTTAACAAAATATTTTTGTCTGTTTTCAGGATGCCAGATTTATGGAGTCATCGGGGCCTTAACTGGATTCATGTCCATCAACACCCTAACAGCTATGGCAGTGGATCGATACCAAGTTATCAATACGAACAATTCCTTCATGCAGAAAACGTCAAAAGGGCGCCATGCCTTTATCATTTGTGGCATTTGGGTTTATTCAGTGTCGTGGGCTCTAGTGCCAGTGGCCGGTTGGGGGCGCTATGTATTAAATGGCGGACGGACTTCCTGTTGTTTTGATTATTTGACGCGGGATTCGATTAACCTCGCTTTCATCGTTTGTTTGTTTATATTTTGTTTTACTATTCAGCTATTTGTCATTCTGTATTGTTACACAAGTATGTTGGTGTTCATTTGTCGACATGAACGTGCATTTTTAAGCAGTGACCTTATTTTAAAAACCGATAAAGCAACGAGAAAGAAAATCAAGTTAGAACTTAAAGTTGCACGGCTGGTCTTTATCATTGTGAGCGCCTTCTGTCTATCGTGGATGCCTTTTGCTGTTGTAACATTAATCGGTGCATTCGGTGATTCTTCCTACATAACGCCGACTGTGTCTATCGTCCCAGGGCTACTGGCCAAAATTTCTACTGCCATTAATCCAATGTTGTACGCTATCAGTCATCCAAAGTTCCAAAGTAAATTACGGGCCTCGTGTCCGAAGTGTCCAGTAAATAGGTTGTTCAAAGCGGGAAAAGCGGGTGATTTGACGAACATGTACCATGCTTCAATGGGTAATCCCAGCGGACAAATGCTGGCGTCGTTAAAATCGTGAGGCAACACAACAAAGTATGGGACCAATTGTAATGTTCATTCCAGAGTGAAACTAGTCGCGACACCAGTAAAACTTTTATTATGTTTTATTGTGTATTCAGGGATATTGTAGACATTGTTATATTGTTACGTCAAGAAGACATAAACTTATTGAAAGTCAATTCACCATTTTATAAAAACCAAGACTGAAACTTGTCGACCCTAAACTTCCCTATATAGATAATTCCATTTGTTCACTTGGTAATCAGTATGAAATCTCCACAATGCAATTACGACAACCCGAATTCGACACACATGATGCAGGATCAACTTACACAATCTGACATTAAACATTTTATCCTACATGTACGTGTGTTTGTATGTACAAACGTTACACTTCTGTTTCATTCTGGATATCATGTTTTCTTTTGAATCGTTTCTTCGAACGTTTGTAAAAAATGAGAACGAATATTGAATTGAACTCCAGATTCTTTTGAATAGAAACATGTTTTTCTCGACTCTGTGCTGGCCGATACTAACTGTGTTTCCATTCCATTAAACTCAGTTTAAACACAATGTGGCAATAAAGCTGGCTTTAAACTAGTTTAGAACCAGATTGTCTCTACAATTCTCAATGGAAACGTGGTTTATGTCTACAATTAATAGCCGAATGGGCAAGATAAGAGTCGGCACGTTTCGGATTACATATAACATCAGACTTCATTTAATCATAGATTATTCCAATAAATAAATGGTAACTCATGTGATCATGCATTTGTTACACTGGCAGAATTTGTAATTTGTTTTATCTCCATTGAAATTGATTCATTTCATTTTAATCAAAAGCATAGACAGGTTGATTCTTTTGATAAATTACATGGCGTGTGCGAACTGGTTCAATAATGGAAACAGCTAAGATTGAATTAGTTGACGAGTCATTGAAATTTGTGGGGTGATTTCCACAGTAACCAGTGTTACAAGACTGATATAATTGACCGTGCAATACAGTTAGAGTCATCCCCACGATAGCTTGCACTTGGTTCGTTGATCTGAACAATGTGACTGAACTAGTTGACGGGGCGACAACTCAGGTGGAGAGTCACTACCATAATAATCTGGAGCAATTGTGACAGAAAACCTTAAAGGCGCCCCAAAACATATCGAGTCATTACAGCTTGCACTGGGATTGCTTATCTGTTACAAATGTGACTGATTTAGTTGACGGGGCAACAAAACAGATGGAGTCATTCCCACTATAGTTTGTATTGGGTTTGTTTATTCGTTACTACTGTGACTGAACTAGTTGACGAGGCGACAAGAATGGTGGACTGATTCGGTCAGTAGCTGTTGTGGGAATTGTTGATGTATTTAAACTGTGACTAAATTAGGTTGTGGAAGGATATTAGCGTGATCCTAATTATGGTTTTAAGCTAATTATAGTCTGGTCACACCTCTAAGTGCCCTCGATAGAAAACATGAGAATAAAAATAGAGTAAAATCTTGATAGGTTATGAAGAAATATGTTTTTAAAAAAATGAAATTGAACTCAAACTTGACTCAAATTAAATCAAAACCTTTATTGAACCAAAGAGTTTCTTCAAATTATAGCCTAAGCAAAGACAGGAGCTCTTCTCCTAGAGAGCACCTCAAAATACCTCAGCAGTCGGTAGCGATGTGGACTCACGTCTAATAGACGATTAGGTGTCCTGGGTTCAAATCTTTCTCAAGGTAAGAAAAAGTGCTTCTGAGAGTCGGTCCGGTGTCGGCTTTCTTATCCTGTCACTCACTGATGTAGAGTTGTTTTTTAATCAGATATATCATTGAAAACTCTGTTATGTTTGGTGTAATGTGTGATATAATGTTATGAAATTTAAAGTTTGTATTACACTTAATGTTAATATTAAAGACAACGATTTGTTATCAATTTCTCTTCTTTCTTTCGCTAATCTAACAAGACCGTGGTGCAAGTTACAATGAGGCAAATGGGTGTACGGTTTGATTTGAAATAGATAGTTAAAAAACACCCTTATCGAATGTGACCGTAATGACTACAACAATTGAGAACGATCCAAAAAGTACTCAAAAGCCAATAACACTGTCCTGATACAATTTCCTCGCCTTACTCCCTTAGCCTAATCAGAACCAGAGAAATAGACACAATACTCTGTTTATTCCTATACATAAAGAACCTCGTCTGACTAATTGTTAACCAGTTCATCAAAGTCAATTTCAGATGTAAATGCGACATAGGGTTTAGTCTCAATTAAGCAAATTCGGAAATGAGATTTAATTAGGTCCGTCTGAACATTTTGGTATTTAATTCAATTTCAATTCAATTTGTCTATTTGGTTACAACACTACCTGATTGTCATTCTATTGTCGTCTGAAGAGAACGCTGAATTTTCTTCTGTATAGTTCTTCCCTGAAAGAATGTTAGATCAATTAGCTGACAAAACTAAATGAACATATCCTTCATTTAAAAATGAAACCAAATGTCTTTGAATATTAATGATGTCATTCGGTATATGTTCTTATCTCCAAACCTACCTTTAACTCGGAAACGGAAGAAACCCTTCGTGATATTTACTATACTGCAATACTTTTCAGAATATTATACGGTTCAGGAAGCAGTTCAATGCACCTTTCCATTGTGAATGCAATATTACATGAGGTGGCATGTTTAAATATCGCAGAATAGAATTAAAATCATTTACTTGTTGACGCAAAAAACACATTTCTTTTCAAATACTGTACCAAAGATGAATAAAAGCAACAAACACATCCCTCCCTCATTTGCCCTGAAGATATGAAAAGAAAAATGAAGCGAAGTTCCATTTTACTTAGCGTTGAAATTTCTTCTCATGCGATAATAAATCCACATGTTAATTTTCGCTATTTTTGTGTTGAGATATGTTGTCAATGATGAGTGCGTGACGTACAAGACTATAGCCAGTCATCCACTGCTCAGAATTTATAAAGATGAGAGTGGTGTTAAGCATCTTGTTCATCACATTGTTTTAAAAACAGAATTTCAAATAATAATCTTTATCTTAACGCTTTGACATTCTCAAGAATTCAGAGAATATTGAAGCCTAATCGCCATAAATCAAACTATAGTGTTCCTAAAAAATTCTTCCACGTGTCAAGGGTTTAAAGTCTTTGAATGGCTGTGTCTATATGTCAAGGTTTTGTGTAGGCTTATTTTCATTTTAGTCAAGTTCGCGCAACTCATGGGTAAGCAGACAGATATTGCGCAACGATTTAAATTCAACCTTTAATTTTGGAAATTCAATACCGCCACAAAATATCGGCTAGCAACTGGAATTTTCCATAATGGAAGAAACTAGTGTTAGCTAGCAAAAGGGACATGTTCATGTAGCAACAGTACGATATTATTCATTGATAATATAAACTATCATGGCTAAAGGAACGTGACAAAGGGGTTTCTCTTGCATGATTTAGTCATATGAGCGTTGCTTGACGTCATTTGCTTGGTTAAAGGGCTAGACCGGTTTTTTGTTGTCTTAATTGAGAAATACATAATACTTCATGCCCCTTATCTTTCGTAGAAGTTTCAAGGTGAAAAATCCAAGCGTTAATACAAAAGTGTTTAGATATAGTTTCACACTTAATTAGCCTAATTCTTCAAGTTGAAAAAAAGCCTGTCTAGCCCTTTAATGTCGAGCAAATGGCGGTTGTAAGTTCAGGCGACTCATATAGGGAAACGAAAAAGATATTGCGATACGATCTTATTCAATAGATTCTATTAGGATATGATAGCCTTGTGTTACACTCGTGTCAATCTATATTACCTTGTTGGTTTTTATCACGAAATATTGGTGAGCTACTGGACTATCCACGATTACCAGATATCAGCGTTAGCTAGCAAAGGAATTCGTTCAGTCACATGCTTTAAGTAAAATCTTAACATTGACACTTTGACATTCTCAAAAGATTTAAAATTTCAAAGAACGATGACATATTTTCCCCTATAAGTCAAACTATGATGTTCCTTATTTGTTCATCCACGTGTCAAGGTTCTGTGTAGGCTTATTAAAGTTCACGTGACTCGAGGAGAAACAATAGAAATATTGCGGAACGAACCTAATTCAATAGATCAAATATATTGTTTGACATACATGGTGCCCTAGTTCTGATACTGTCAACCGTTATGGTTTTGCAAAGGATGCTTCGCGGTGATTAAAGGGACTGCCCTCGATTACCAGATACCGGCGTTGGCTAGCAGAGGGATTTCTCTGATTTGCTTGAATTAACCAGCCAATGATCAGAGGTTTTGACATTGCTGCTGGGAATGTATGTTGTTTCGCCCAAATTCATGTAGTTTAAATCCCATATACTGTCACTTTCTTACAGGTTGAAGAACTACACTTATACTGCGGATAAATCAGACTGTTAGTGCTTCAATGTATTTAACCCTTGTTCTTCTGTTTAAAGGGAAAAGCCCGATAATACTTATGATAATTATGTAACTTCTTCTTAATCAATTAGGAGATCGTTTATTCCAGAAACGTGCTTGTTTTTCTGCTGATATATGAAAACTTTTGTATAATTTAGATTTGTTTGTTTCGGAAACGAAATTCTTAGCTCCGTACGCGTGTACGCATCCATCTATTCTAGCTTTCTTTGAAACTTTTACGAATTAGGAAGTACCGGGAATTACATAGATAAATAATAGCGGAAAGATATTCGATCATAGCCTTCATATTACTGTCGTGGCTTATCTTTACCCCTGAAGGCATTTTCTTTTTAAATTTGATGTAATTATCAATGACAATCGACATTGTTTAAGAATATTGAAAACTTTTCATAAACCGCAAATGACTGTTGGTAAATATCTTTTTTGTCAATACTCTGACGCCATTCTTGCTATTTTAAGATCCGCACAGCATCCGTGAACGCAAAAATCAATTTTCTATCAGTCCGTGTGGTATGTGAAGACATTTGTGTTTAACTAGGTTGTTTTAAACTAAAAATAAATAACATTTTATGTTCCTCGCGTTA